GCAATACTGACACAAAACTAGAGAGAAGATAGAAATTAGAAATATCAATAACAATACCAGAAATATTTGATGGATGTGGGAGGGAGGGGGGATGGGCATGGAGGAGGACACTTGTGGGGATGAGCACTGAGTGTTATGTGGAAACTAATTTGACAATAAACTATTTGTAAAAAAAAAAAAAACAAAAAAAAAAACCAATACCAGAAAAAAAAAAAGCTCTTACCACTTCTATCAATATTTTACTGAAGGTTTTAGTGTAAAAAGAAAAAAAAAGATTGGAAAGGAAGAAGTAAAACTTTCTTTATATTCGAAACATAATAAGTCAGGCAGAGAAGGACAAATATCACATGTTTGCACATATAGGAGGATTGGGAGGAACTTAACGGAGGACCATGGGGGAGAAGGGGGGAAATGGTGGGGGAAAGGGGAAGAGGCAAACCATGAGAGACTCTTGAATGCTGAGAAACAAACTGAGGACTGATAGATGTGGAGGGGAGGGGGAAGATGGGCATGGAGGAGGGCACTTGTGGGGATGAGCACTGGGTGTTATATGGAAACCAATTTGACAATAAATTATTTGTAAAAAAAAAAAAAAGAAACATAATGTTGCCATAAAAATGCCTTTGGAATCTACCAAAATGAAACAAAACCTATTTGAAATATGCTAAATGAGGCAAGTCAATCAGAAAAAGACAAATGCCATATGATTTCACGCATATGTGGAATTTAAGAAACAAAACAGATGAACATGGGGAAAGAGGAGAAGAAAAGAGAGGGGAAATAAACCACAAGAGACTCTTAATGACAGAGAACAAACTGAAGGTGATGGAAGGAGGTGTGTGGGGGATGGGCTAGATGGGTGATGGGCATTAAGGAGGGCACTTGTTGGGATGAGAACCAGATGTTGCATGTGATAGATCACTGGATTCTATTTCTGAAGCCCGTATTGCACTGTATATTAACTAGAAATCAGAAATGAAGGAAAGAAAGAAAGAAAGAAAGAAAGAAAGCAAGCAAGCAAGCAAGCAAGCAAGCAGGCAGGCAGGCAGGCAGGCAGGCAGGCAGACACTAGTAAGAAAAATTAACAAGAGAACACCAAAGAAAGTTGCTCAGGTCATACAGAAAAACTGTATTGGAACTGATGTCTCTGACAGATAAGAAGTCCATTGAAATTCTAAAACTGTTGATGTCAGTAAATTTCACAAGAAGGACAAGTGTAGAGAGTTACATACAACCTCATGTCAGATATGCTAACTGATGGATGCAGGAACTGTGGCATTTCGTAATTGTATGCACAAAGACACAATTTTCCATTTCTAAGAGTTGGTGATGTGGGTTTTTTTTTTTAATCTAACCAGAAAATAAGATATTTCCATCTTAATCTGGAGGTGTGATGAGAAAATATATAAGTTCAATGATTCTCTTCTTCCAGACCCCACACCTTATGCTGTAAGGAGTAGACCATGGATTCACTTCAAGGAATTTGTGAACTTGGTTAGGCAAAGAGCCTCAATCCCTGACCAACTAAATAACATATTCTGTATATTTGTACTGTTTTCTTTTATTTTTTAACTTGTTTTGTTTATTCAGTTTTTGAGAGAGAGACACATAGTGCAAGTGGGAGAGAGGGAAAAGAGGAGAGAGAATCCCAGGAAGGCTTCTCATTGTCAGCACAGAACCTTGGGGCTCAAACCCAAGAACAGAAAGATCATGACCTGAGCCAAAGTCAGGTGCTTAACTGATTGAGCTACCCAGGTGCCCCTCTATTGTTATCTTTTAAATGTATGTGGTCGTGGCTAATACAAAATTAGTTCATTAAAATGTGTTAATGGGGGAAAAAGAAAAATTATCAGGGTTTTGGTAGATAATATTATTACATAAAATCATTTGTGTTTCTGTATTTCCATACATTAGCAACAAACAGCTGCAAAATCTAATTTAAAAAAGAGAATCAGATGCATGAGCATAAACACAAACCATTAAATATTTTGGGATGAATTTCACCAAAACAACACGAAGGATCTCCACACTGAAGACTACAAATCAAAGCCGAACAATTTAAAAAGCACAAGCAAAGGAAGAAATAAAACATGCGAATCTCTATCACATAATCTAAAATGGGATAATGTGGCTCCCAAGGGGGCAGAAATTGGTTCTTAAGATACAAAAAAATTCTTAGATGTCACAATGACTCATGTCCCTCCAAAGGCCACAGTCCATGAACAACTACAACGTGTATCTGAGATATTAAAATTTCATAGGGATGGAATTATTAGGGGAAAATATGATAAAGCCTCCTTAGGGGGATAATTTTAAAAGATCAAGAAACACTGCTCTATATAAACCCTCTCCGATTTAATCTATACTTTCAATGCTTATCGAAATTCCAGCAGGCTCCAGTAGAAATTGATAAATTGGTTTTAAAATTGATTTGTAAATACAAAGATACTTGGAATAACTAAAACGTTCTTGAAAGAATAAACACCTACCTCAAGACTAACAACAGAGCTAAGTAAGCCTGACCTGACCATGTGGGGTCAGTAGATGAGTAGATCATGGGACCAAAAATAGAAGAACTTGTGTGGGAGAGAAAGAGCGAAAATCAGCTTGAAACGATAAAGGAGAAAGCAGCCTTGCCATTATCCATGCCGAAGGGTAGACATGGATAAACCACCTGCAAAGTCAGAAGTGTGCATGGGAGCACTTCAGAGGATGGCTGCTTTCTTATCAAGAGCACCCAGACTTACAACGCCCTCTCTGACTAGGGGCACCTACCTGCTAAATCAGGCTGGCTGCAGGAGAGCACTGAGCCTCCTGTAAGTCCCTGCTTCTCCCGAGCCCTCCTCCACAGTGCACCCCATCTAGAACTGACCCCTGCTTCCCATAGACCTTGCTCAGATTTCTTCAGATGGAAACCACACTTTAAACCAATGATGCTTGCTTCCTTTCTGTGGTCAAGTGTGAGGTGTACTGGTTGCTCTGGAGTGCCCTCCCTCACCACAAATCGGTAAATCTGATTTTTGTCAGACTACAGGTTACACCTGGTGGTCTTTGGCTGGCTAAGCTTAAACATAACAACATAAAGCATCCATATAAAACAAGATATATGTGGCTGATTAACTTTTACCAAGGTGTCTGGATAAAGTGAGGTGGAAAAGGTAGTCTTCTCTGCAAGGTGTGTGGCAATAACACAACAAAACACAGGTATCTTTTCAGAAAAAATAATAACCCTCAGCCTTACATATAAAATTAATTTGATTTGGATCACAGACCTAAATATAAAAGCTACAGGAAAGTGCTTTGTGGTTCTATGGTGCGTGAAGATGTTTTAGGACACAAAACCCAAAGAACAGTCAAGGAAAGAAATATGATGACCAATTAGAATTCATCAAAAGTAAACATCTTTGCTTTTTAAAAGACACTATAAAGGAAAATGGAAAGCAAGCCACAAATTAGGAATTTGGATGAAATAACTGGGAATATGAATCCCAAGCTGCGGATGGGAAAGAGTTACTTAGAGTTTCTGAAGGAGAGCAGGTTGTAAAAAGGCAGTTGCTAGAACACCAAACGCATGGGTTGCAAACAGTTGTCAGGTGCAGGAAGAGGGTGTGCAGAGCAGCGTAGTAGGAGGGGGATGCAGAAGTGACAGGTGCGCAGGGACAGGTGCACAGGCGGCAGGTGTTCAGGGACAGGTGCGCAGGGGACAGGTGTGCAGGGACAGGTGCACAGGCGACAGGTGTCCACAGGTGACAAGTGTGCAGGGACAGGTGTGCAGGGACAGGTGCACAGGCGACAGGTGTGCAGGGACAGGTGTGCAAGGACAAGTGCACAGGCGACAGGTGTGCACAGGGGACAGGTGTGCAGGGACAGGTGCACAGGGACAGGTGCGCAGCCCAGCCACAGGGCACAGACGGGAAGTCAGGACACTGGCTAGTGAGGTGTGGGCGGCTCACAGGAGCAGAAAGAAGGGGTCGGCAGGGGGCCTCTCCACCCTGAGCCTCTTCTCCCCGCCTCCCAGCCCCCTACTCCCTACTTTGCAAGTGGCTTCTTCTCCTCACCTCCAAGCCTCTGTCCTTATCTTTCATTTTCTCTCCCTTTCCTGTATTTCTTTCTTTCTTTGATCATTTTGCCTGCCCACTTGTCTTGCCTTCATGTCTGTCCCCTACATGGTGATAACACGGAAAAGGCAGAAAGTTAGTACCTTCACTTTTAATACATATAATTCCTACTCTCTTGTCTAACTATAACTATAGTTACTATGCAGCAAAGAGTTTTTATTCCCCCCACCACCACCAAAATCTGCAGTTACCTTTCTGTATACTTTTCTCTGATTCTGTGCTCTAAATTTTAGACAAAATTTTCCTGAATTAAAAGTACCTTACAATATAGTGATCTGTTGTGGGGGCTTATTTCTAGAACAATGCCTTTAGGATTTCCCAATTCTTGGACAGAGTAAGAGATATAAACTGGAATTGAGAAACCAAGACTGTCTTCTTTCCAACATGAAGGTGAATGGTCACTGACCCTTGCAGCTGGTGGCTCACACAGTGTGGTCAAACTGGTAAACCATGAACTCAGAGCAAGCACTGGTTATGATGCTTTATTCAGAAGAACCAACACAGAAAGAAAATAATGAACATATATGAGGAGCATTAGGATAAAGTGTTTCACATCCCTCAACATGTAAGAGGTCATACAAAAAGGAAGGAAGTACCAGGACATGACGTCCGTTAAGCACGTATTGCATGAAAGAGTGGCACCAGCTTTAGGAGGAAGGATTCAGGAATGGACAGTCTCACGAAGAAGAAAATATCTAAAAAGACCAACATCTGTGTCCCTTGCACAGGACTAGCTAAAGCTCTAGAATATGGTCACTTAGACTTCAGTGTGTCAATTGGTCACCCTCTGTCCCCAGCCTGCAGTGAACTTGTAGGCTAAGTGTCACTACAAACAGCTGTGGGAGAAAAGCTAATTATCTGACACAAGAATATTGGTGAAAGTTACATCTCAAAAGAAGGAATCGGTGGCTGCCACCTTCTCCCCAACACCTTCACGGCCCCTTTGATGTCCTTATTCCTCAGTGTGTAGATTACAGGGTTTAGCATAGGGGTAACGACACTGTATAACACAGAGATTAGTCTGTCTCTCCCCAGAGAGTATGTCGAGATGGGCCGCACATATGTGAAGATGGCGCTGCCATAATACAGAAGGACAATAACCAGGTGCGAGGCACAGGTAGAAAATGCCTTTTGCCTCCCTGCTGAGGAGCGGATCCTCAAGATGGTAGAGATAATATAGAGGTAGGAGAGGATGATACCCAGGACAGGAGCCCACCCAATAAAGACCCCAATGGACAGCAATGCCAACTCATTGACAGAAGTGTCCCCACAAGACAACAGCAGCAAAGGGGGGATGTCACAGAAGAAATACTGAAGCTGGTTGTTGCCGCAGAAGGGCAGGCGGAAGGTCAGTGCCGTGTGCACCACTGAGTTGAGGAAACCCCCAGTCCAGCACGAGGCGGCTAAGCGGCTGTACAGGGCCCTGTTCATAATCACTGAGTACCTTAGAGGTTTACAAATTGCAATGTAGCGGTCATACGCCATGGCTGCCAGGAGAAGACACTCTGATCCTACAAAAAAAATAAATGCAAAAAGTTGTGCCATGCAACCCAAATAGGAAATGCTCTTCTTCTCTGACAGGAGATGCACCATCATCTGGGGGACATTGGTGGTGGTGTAGCAGATGTCAAGAAAGGCCAAATTCCTCAGAAAATGATACATGGGAGTGTGTAGATGTGGATCAGCCACGGTCACCAGGATAATGAAGATATTTCCTCCCAAAGTACAGATATAAGTCAGAAAGAAGATGGTGAAGAGTAAAAATTGCAAATCATTTAGATCAGAGAATCCCAAGATGATGAATTCAGACAGAGCTGTTTGATTCTTTCCTTCCATGATGTTGCCTGGTTTCCTTTTGGGGACTGGACAAAGAGAAACCCTGATTACAGTAAGAATTTACTGCAGCAGTAATGGTCTGCAAAACAAGAGAAAAGTGTTACAGATGAAAGTCGTCCCCAGCAACTTCATATTCCAGCCCAAAACAGCAGAATCCTTCAGAGCTCAAACCTACCACCAAACACAGACATAAGTGTATCCAATGTTTCCTTTGTAAGTAAAACTTCAAACATACACAACACAGACAGCATTTAATTAGGAAAAAAATGCACAAAGGGGCACCATACGTCCTAAGAGCCCTGTGTTAATAATGACGAGTCAAATCCAGGTGTGCCGTCCTGGAGAGCTGCGAACACAGGGTGTGCAAGAGTCTTTAGACGAAACCTTTCATTTCTCCACCAAAATCCTCTACTAATGATTTGGGGTGTGTCCTTCTAAATAATTTTTCGCGAGTAAATATTTAAAACAAGTCTCAGAAAGTACATTTTCTAACCTGGTTTTTCCCCAAGCACCATATTGTGATGATTTCTCATGAGCATAAACATTCTACTGAATCATGATATTTGCATTTCAAGTCTTCATATGAATCCACCCTTATTAATGGATATTTATATTGTTTTCTGTTTTTAATTTATGTTTATTTATTACTGAGACAGAGAGAAACTGAGCATGAATAGGGGAGGGGCAGAGAGAGAGGGAGACACAGAATCTGAAACAGGCTCCAGGCTCTGAGCTGTCAGCACAGAGCCCGATGCGGGGCTCAAACCCACAAACCCTGAGATCATGACCTGAGCTGAAGTCGGACGCTTAACCAACTGAGCCATCCAAGCGCCCCTATACTGTTTTCTTTAATTTGTTATGATAATCTTTAGTAATAAGCACACTAAATTAGAATTCCTGAATTTTGGGTTAGATTACCTGTATTTTAATAAACCTTCCAAGAAATTCTTTCCAATAAGTTATAGACCAAGTGGTCTGAAAACTTGAAAAGGCATTTGGCTAATGCAGGATTCAGTGCCCACGTGGACAGTCATGGCAGAACCCATGTGGAAGGGACACTTGTGTCCACACGGTCACGTTCCAGTTTCTAGATGAAAACACTGAATCTCAATGAAATAAATGTCTGGCAGAATTTGGCCATTGGACGGGGTAGAAACATAGTTTTATTTTTCCAGAGCTAATATACTTTCTTTTTTGTTTTTATCTTTTTCTAAACATTTATTGTTGAGAGGCAGAGACAGATGGAGCATGAGCAGGGGAGGGGCAGAGAGAGGGAGACACAGAATCTGAAGCAGCTCCAGGCTCTGAGCTGTCAGCACAGAGCCCAACGTGGGGCTTGAACTCATGAACTGCGAGATCATGACCTGAACTGAAGTCGGATGCTTAACTGACTGAGCCACTCAGGCACCTCTCCAGAGCTAATATACTTTTAATTGAGTGTCTAAAAATTTAACTTCCCTTAACTAATGAGAAAAGAATGCTCTCTAAAAATACTTATAATATGATTTATATTCATACACTTGATTATTTTCATTAGTTTCAAACTTTTTATGGCTTATATCTGACTATTAATGGTAATATAGTATCTGTAGTGTCTTGATGGTTGAATTTAATTGTTACTAAACATCTGGTCTTTTACTTGAATATGTTTATTTGAACAATTGACTCTCAGTATAGTTGTTATTTCCTGGCCAGCTGTATATTACGTTAATGTTCATAATCATGTTATTAAAGAATACTGCTCTAGACTCTGTTAGTTACTAAAACCTTTTGATAAAATTCAAATGGTTACACAAGGAATCCCTTAGTTCAAAAGGCTCAAGTTCTAATTCAAGAAGAAGAATCAGTTTTGCAGTCTGATATCAGAAGCAAATTATAGGAGCTAAAGAGAGAAGCAAACTGTTTAGGAATGAGGGGGTACTGGGTCTTTATTCAAACAGTACTGCTTCGATTGCCCTGTGCCCAGATGCCCAGGCTGCTGGTGCTGCCATTTTCATTGCAGGCTCCCCTCCCTGTGAACTACTCTGGGCATTTCCAGAAGAATGAAAACATACCGGATAAAGGCTTAAATTCCCTTGAAGTCTCCAGGACAATTTTGTTCCATCAGCAAAAAAAATCCCCAAACCCTGGTCTCTAATCTGTCTTTTTTCTCATTCCTAAACTCTGCCTATACTTTTACTTTTTTAGCCCTTCCTCCTACTTCTTAGGATAAATTAGACACACCCACTAGGCTAACCCACCCTGCTCATTTTATTCAACAACTGTGTTTTGAGAAACTACTCTCTGCTGGGTCTGGTAGTTTGTGCTAAAAATAAAAAGATGAGCAACACAGAATTTGACCATATTGTCAGGAGAATGCATATTGGGGTTATAAATTTACCAAATAGTATTTTTTTAATATAGTAAAAACTGTAATAATTGCTTTAAAGGAAAACAACATAGGGTCCACCCTGATCCAGAGGTGTCATCAAAAAACTTCCCTGAGAAAACGTGGATTGAAATCTCAGGCATGAACAGGGGTTAGGCAGGTAAAGGTGAGTTGGGTATGAAAATCTCCCACAGAAGGAAGAGCAGGTGCAGTCTGGAGGCTGGAGGCAGCACGAGGCTGGGAGGCCCAGGAGGCTAGAATGAGGGGGAGGGACAGGAGGCACTCCGGTGGGGGTGGAGACTTTTGGGATCTAACAACAGCAGGAGAATATTTCAGGGACTGGAGAGGTCTATGTTCCAGAAAGCTCTTCTGACCACTGAATGGACTGGAAGGGGGAGCACTGGACAGAACAAGACGCCGAGGTCACCGTTTTGTTCCTCCACACTGGAGGTGACAGTATTTCAGACTAGAGTGCTGAGGACTGAGTCAGAGGAAATAATGGCAGTGGAGGGATATTAGGACACACAATCTGTGCAGTTTGGGTACAAAGTGAGGAAGATGGTGAATTAGGGACAATAATCATAATGGACTTACATGGGCTGACCGGTGGCTCTACAAGCCTTAAAGCCTCCCATTCTGACATCACACACACAAGCCCACATTTAAAAATATAAGCTTCGGAGAGATTAAATGATTTGCCTAAAGTTCCATAGATACACATTTCAGTTAGTGACCTTGATGACCGTGCTGTGCTGGCCTAGGTTCCTGGTCTGAGCGACCACGAGGGTGGCAGGGTCAGTCACCAGCACAGAGAAAGCTGCAAGGGGTCCCGCTCCAGGGGAAGATGGTGGCTTCAGTGTCAGCCGTGTGGTGTTTGAGGAAGTTTTCACATAATGCACGGAAATAAGTCAGAGAAATAGTAATTGGACAAGAGGGGAGGCGGTCCTAGGGAGCCGAGCTCTAGCAGGTAGTGTGACAGGGTTTGCGTGGACAGGACAGCAGGGAGCAGGGAGCGAGCACCGGCTTCCAGAGCTCACGGGCCGGACCAGGTGGGGAGGGAGGAGGAGACCGGAGGAAACCCAGGCAGCTCCTTTACTTTAGTTGGCGCGTGGCGATGGCACTGCGGTCCCGGGACCAGTTCTCCTGCCAGACCAGCCTTAGAGGAAGGGTTCCCTGCAGGAAACCCACGTCCCGCACAACACAGGCCTCGGGAAGGACAGAGGGACGGGGACAGGTGTCAGCAGACGGGCTCTCACAGCCCCAGCCCCTCCCGGCCCTGTCCCCTGGGTCCCCAGGCCCGTCTGCCCGTGACCATGTGCTCCGCTCCCGTGCCCTGGCCCAGCGCCAGCGCTGGCTCAGCTGTCCTGCGCCACCTGCCAACCGCGGTCCCTTTTCTTTCGCTTCCCAGGATCCACTGAGCCGGCTGTCCTTCCTCCTGCCCCGTTTCTATCTGCCAATCTTCACTTCCTCACAGCTCAGCTCAAAGGCGACTGTTTCCTTCCACTGAAAATTATGTTTCCCCTTCCCCGGAAGGATGGGCCTCTGTTTAGATCTCAGCTACGCCCTGAACATATTTGTGTGATTCATGTCACCCATATGGCCATAATCCTGGAGGACACTTGTCTTGTTTCGCTCATCTGTTTCCTCACAAGTTACTTGGTGAAAGATCGCCACTGTGGGAATGCCAGGCACTCCGGCAGAATTTCCAAGATGAAAGAGTTCCTTCCCTTCCTTGAATATTCATAATCCTGTAGAACTTAGAAAACAAGGTTCACATCTGCCATATAATTTTATTCCTATTTTATTCCCATGAGTTACTGCGGAGGAAACTAAGTTACAGAAGATGCCTGATGATTCTAATCTCACAGTTAGCAAAATAGAAAAAAAGAATTACTCTACCTCCAAATCCGGAACAATGTCCCCAGATGGCACGCAAATCAGTCTACAGGTGACACTGCCCAGTGTAATTCGCCAGGTGGAGCACAGATATTTCACACAGACTATCAGGAAAACAGCTCCTCCCCCTCTTATGTAAGACCAAGAAATCTGATATAATACAAGAAAAAAAAATGTTTCCAGGGGTTCACGGCCCGTGAAGGTCTCAAGGATGGCCACTGAGACCGCCCCATAAAGAACTGCGCTCAGAAAACCCATGAGAAAGTCCTGGCTACCTTGCTTCCTTCTAAGGGACTCAGTGCCTCTTCATTAGACAGAATTCTCAAAACAGAAACCTTAGAAATAGAGAGTTTAACCTGCCAGGATCCTCGAAGTATATTATCCAATCCCTTACTTATAACAGAAATCACACAGCAAACACAGAAACTGCTGAGCACCGTGAGAGCTCCAGAAATAATGCCCCGCGTGCAAGGACCGCAGGTGCACGGGAGAGATTCTGCTGGCGATGCAGCCAGGCAGCGAGTTTCTGACGCTGTTCTCCACAGTGCATGGCATTTTAGTCTCCTATTTTTGCAGAGTAAAGACACTGCCTTTTATTTCATAGGGAATCAGCAAACCAGCAGGGGGACCTTCTGAGTGATATCAAATTACCCAAAATGAAGGAAGCCCCTGGCTCACACGCAGTCCGCCTATGCCCTCCCTGGGCTCATCACACTCCCCTTCCCAGAGAGCAAGG